CTATTTCTTCTTGGTCTCCATTGCTAGTTTCTCCACACTTCTTTGAAATCTAAATAGTAGTGTACAATAGGGACCACTTCTCTTTTCTAACTTACTCTAGGTGGTTACCTCCACTTGACGCATAGCTTTTAATAGTAACTGCTTGCTCACTGGTGACTTCCGAACTTATTTTTCTGGCATAGACTTTTTCCCTGAGCTCTAAACCTTATATATTCACCTCCTAATCAGTACCTTCACTTGACTATTTAATACATTTCTCCTAATTATCATGTCTCAAATTGAGTTTGTTATCTTCCTCTACCAAACCTACTTCTCCCATTGTCTTTCTCATCTCAGTTAATGGCAGTCATATTCTCCTAGTTGTTCTGTCAAGATTCTTGACTCCTCTCATTTTCTTACTCCCGTCTAAACTGATTACTAGATCATCTATATCCAAAAACATTATCAAAGTTTGTCCAGGATTCTACTGTTTCTCACCATCTCTTTTGCTATCTTCTTAGCCATTCTTGTTTTTCATCCGGAATGTTATAGTAGTCTTCTAATTAGCTGTCTTTCCCTGTTCTCTGGCAGTTAACTTTTTATAAAGCAAATGATCTTATTGAAATATAAATCACATCATGTCTCACCTCTCTTCAAAACCTTCCAGTAGTTTCTAGAGTCCTTATAATGACCTACAAGATCATATGGCAGTATTCTCAGTCTATCTGCCATGAAGAAGCACTTTTGTTTTAATTTCTAGTTTAAGGCAGACCAATACTTTCCAAAAATATGATTAAAAGTTAGTTTCTACTAATTTCCCCTCTGGGAAAATTACCCTCTGGTCATGGTGAAATTACTAGTAGTATCAGATTAGCTCTCTCACTGCAAACTACTGGAAAAATTGTCTGAATATAACTATTTTCAGAAATTAGACAGTAACTAGTGCAGGACTGATCCCTGAGGGAAGGGAAGCAAGTGAGGAGAGCTCTATAATTGCTCAGGCTTCTTGCCGGGGGGCATTTACCAAGCTCCAGTGTAGAATACAAGCAGAGCAAGGCAGTCTTGCTGAGATAAGGAATCAGAAATTGGAGTTTGGGGAGACTGGAATTTCCCAGGTAGAATACCAGAGAGGAGGAAGCTACACAGAAAAAGAGCTTCATAAATCTCCATAGAGGTCCCCTTGAGTCTTTTGCTGAAAACTAAGCTGTGTTTGCATAGAATGAAACTTTACGAGACCGGGCAAGGAATCTGAAAGTGGAACAACTGTCTGAACTCACATAGATGTTTGCATTCCAACCACCCAGGGCAGAGAGACATTATTGAACACTTGGGACATTCAGTAAAGACCCCAGAAAGGCCACACCTTAAGAGCAGGGTCAAAATAGCCCTGGGTAAAGGTTACCCTAGATATGTGTTTATGAAGCTTAAGCACAAGCCTCAGAAGAGTCAAGCAGGTCCACAAGTAAATTAACTGACTGCCAGCTTCTTTAGAGGAAGACAACAAAATCTAGACATTCAACAACTTAGATTCCCCCATTTCCATCATGCAGTTAAAAATTAGAAAACATAGGAAAAAGCAGGAAACTATGGTCTTTAACCAGGAGAAAAATTAATCAATATGAACAGAACCAGAAATGACTGACATGATGCAATTAGCAGATATGGACTTTAAAATACCCATTATAAATATCAGGATGTAAAGGAAAATGTGAACATAATGAGGAGAGATGGAAGAAATAAAAAATAACCAAATCTAAATGTGATTATAATTTTCTATATGCATATTCTACTTCCATAAAAATTTTTAAATAAAAAAGTAAATCTAGAGTTGAAAGGGATAATACCCAAAATTTAAAATTCAAAGGATGGACTTAACAGTAGGTCAGAAATTATAGGAAAGAAAGTTCACTTAAAGGCATACCAATACAAGCCAGGCTCAGTGGCTCAGCCTGTAGTCTCGTGCCTTGGGAGGCTGAGGTAAGTAGATTGCCTGAGCCCATGGGTTCGAGACCCACCTGGGCAACTTGGTGAGACCTCATCTCTACAATAAATCAAAAATCAGCCGGGTGTGGTAGCGTGCGCCTATAGTTCCAGTTACTTGGCTGGGGCGGAAGGATCGCCAGAGCCCAGCAGGTTGAGGCTGTGGTGTCTGGGAGTGGCCACTGCACTCCAATCTGGGTGACAGAGTGAAACTCCAACTCAAAAAAAAAAAAGGCATAGCAATACAAACTATCTAAAACGGAGAACACAGAGAAAAATGACTGAAAAATAGAGCCTCAGTGACTTATGGGATAATGTCAAGTAGTCTAACAGGGGAAGAAGACAAAATATTTAAGGAAAAATTTTTCCCAAATTTCCTAATAAATTTTTATAAGTACGATAAAAACTATAAACCTACAGATACTAGAAGCTCAACAAAGTATAAGCAGGATAAACAGAGAAATTCATACCAAGGCACATCAGGATCAAGTTACTGAAAATCAATGATAAAGAAAATATATTAAAAGCAGCGGGAGAAAAATAAGACATGTTACATACAAGAAAACAAAGGTAAGAATAATTGACGACTTTTTATTAAAAACAATACAAGCCAGAAAAAACCGGAATGGCACCTTGAAAGCACTGGAAGAACTTACTTTTATTCATTCTAAAATATACAGGTTTTCTTGCTTTATCCACTGGAAAAGCCTAGAATCAGTTACAGCCTACAAAGAGTGAGTACCCTAGTACCCTGATTGTGGTCTCTAAATGCTCTTTCTCAGTAAAGGGAACCAGAGATCCTTGGAAGAGTGGTTGATTTCAAGTATGGGACAGGATACATACAAAAGAAAACGGGGCACCTTATTGTGCCAGAAAACAAAGAAGCTAATGAGGTCTGATGAATGTGTCAAAAGAATACAGGAACTTACCAGCAGGGCTCCAACTAGCAGAAGGTAGGACAATTTGAGCATCAAAAAGATGATTGGAATGGATTGAAGCACATCAGATGTATTAAAAAAAAAAAAACCGCCTTGGTAACCATTGGTGTTTGCTGGGGCAGTAACTCATTGTTCTGTATTTTGTTAAGTAATGGGAAATATCAACCCTTTGTCTTAGCTTTCCTGATTGAGCAGTATTTTAAGATAAATAGATAAGAAATGAATGAATACATAAAGAATGTTAAAACTGGAAGATCAGTTTTTTATTTTCTTTTTTTGGTGGTGGAGGGTCTCAGTCTGTCACGCAAATTGGAGTGTAGCAGCACAATCACAGCTCACTGCAGCCTTGACCTCCTGGGCTCAGACAATCCTTCTGCCTTAACCTCCCGAGTAGGTGGGACTACAGGGTGCATCACCATTCCCAGTTAACTTTCTAATTTTTTTTTGTGGAGATGAGGTCTCACTATATTGCCCAGACAAGTCTTGAATTCCAGGCCTCAAGTAATCCTCCTACCTCAGCCTCCCAGAGGGCTGGGATTACATTCAGTAGCGTAGTAAATGCATTTTTTCCTCCCTCCCTCCCTCCCTCCCTCCCTCCCTCCCTCCCTCCTTCCCTCCTTCCTTCCTTCCTTCCTTCCTTCCTTCCTTCCTTCCTTCCTTCGAAATGGGGTCTCACTATATTGACCAGACTGGTTTTGAACTCCTGGCTTCAAGCAATCCTCCTGCCTCAGCCTTCCAAAGTGCTGGGATTACAGGCATGAGCCACCACACCCAGCCTTAAATGCATTTCATCTTACAGTATTTTCAGTTTACAATGGATTTATCAGGACAAAACCCCATCATAAGTCGAGGAGCATCCGTTTAATCAAGGATCTAGCTCTAATCCCAGGGGATAGAGAAGCAAGTTAAATGACACTACAGGAAACAGTCAAATCAGCATGTAGGATATTCTGTAAGATAACTTGGTTTCTTCACATACAGATGACATGAAAGAAACAGAGAAAAGAAGGAACTATTATGGGTAAAAACAGAAATGTGTCAGTCAGATATACATGAAAGATATATGTTAACCAAATGCAAACCAGGGACTTTCAATATTGATTTTAACCGTAAAAGGACATTTTTTAAGATGTGAGGAAATTTTCTCATGGGCTAGGACATTAAACATTTTTGCCCATTTGTTTGGTATGACAGTGACGTTAAGATTATGTGAAATGTTTTCACTATCTGACTATATACTACATGCTATATTCAGGTTCAAGTATTCCCAAGTGAGATAATTGTCTGGGACTTGCTTTAGCCACCTATCCCTACACAAAAAGTTGGGGAGTAATAGATTAAACAAGATTGACAAAATGTTAATATTTATCTAAGTTTCGTTATGGGTACCTGAGTGGTAGTCATTAGGTTATTTTGTACAAGTTTTAACATATTTATACTAAAAATTAAAAAAAAAAAAAAAAGACCTTGTGCTTAAGGACCTTCCATATACCTATAAGAGAGAATTCTACACTTGGAATGTGTAGTGTTGTCTTACAATTAGATGTCTTACAGTTTTGATGAGTTTGGTTCAAGTACCAGTTTTATGGGAGAAGATAGACTGATGCTCAAGGCAGTATCCTTACAGAAATAAAAATATTTAACTGGCAACATGAAGTAACACTGAAAATTCTTAAATGCAGAGAAAAGCTATAAAAGAATAGCATTAGGGATCACTTTGCAAACCTAACATATCCACTGCCTCAGTTGTCCTGCCAGAGGGCATTTCCTAGAATGTACATCCACCACAGAGCCTGGCACCTGGATGGAAGTGGTAAGTGAGGCTCCTCTGGTGACTCCTCAGCAAGTCCTTCTATGGCCTGTGATGTCGGTTGCCTGAAGCCATTCCTAAAGGACTGCTTTTGTTCAAAGGATTTGTGAGGCAGATTTCTGGTGGTCTAACACCTTACCCCATTACATATTGTGGTTTTTTATTGTTTTCCTTATCATAATTTATTATTTTAAAAATTTTTCTTTGAAGTTTGCTCATGTTAATCCATGTTCATTTCTCCCTCTGTGTGTGTTTTTTGTCATGCTTGCTGTCTTTGCCTCCATTGTTCCTAGGTTACAGTATAGCCAGGATATACCCAGTCACTTGGCTGATGAGCATGCGCTGATAGCCTCCTATGTGGCCCGTCTGCAGCACTGTGCACGGTCAGTGGTGGTGCAGCAGCAGCAGTGGGCAGCCAGGGGTGATCAGAGGGAGGGAGAGCTATGCTACTTGGGGTTGCCAGCTGGAAAAAGCTCTGCATGTGGGGTTTATCTTGAGCAGCTACCAGCTATGTTTGGCAGAGTTAAAATAATTACTAAAGCATTAGCTTCTACAAGAGAAGGAGCCTTGCCAGGCCCAAGCACTTACCTAAACGCAGAGTCAGGAATTCTCCTTTATAGTGGGGTTTATGTCCTTTAGCTTAAACTTAAAGAGCATGTAAACCTCTGAGATACCTGCATTTCCAAAAATGTAACATTCGTAAAGGTATTTGATGCAGAATTTTTCTGTTCATTCTTACCTAAATAATGAAAGAGTTTATTTATTTATTTATTTGAGTTGGAGTCTCACACTGTCACCCAGACTTGGAGTGCAGTGGCCGCTCCCGGCCACCGCAGCCTCGACCTGCTGGGCTCCGGCGATCCTTCTGCCTCAGCCTTCCAAGGAACCGGAATTACAGGCATGCACTACCACGCCCAGCTGATTTTTTGATTTATTGTAGAGATGAGGTCTCGCTGCCCAGGCAGGTCTCGAACCCGTGGGCTCAGGCAATCCACTCACCTCAGCCTCCCAAAGGCGCGGGATTACAGGCTGAGCCACCGAGCCCGGCTAAGAGTTTTTTAAAAAGAGTTAATATAGAACAAAGTGCTGTTACATTCAGGCACACCCATTCCATGTCCACACCCACCACCATTCTTCAAGGAGGTAAAATTTAAATAATTGCTACCACGCCCGGCTAGTTTTTTGATATATTGTAGAGGCAAGGTCTCACCAAGTTGCCCAGGTGGTCTCGAACCCCTGGGCTCAGGCAATCCTGTCCCCTAGGCCTCCCAAAGTACTGGGACTATAGGCTTGAGCCACTGTGCCCGGCCTACACATGTTTTTTTTTTTTTTTGAGTTGGAGTCTCACTCTGTCACCCATACTGGAGTGCAGTGACTGCTCCCGGCCACTGCAGCCTCGACCTGTTGGGCTCCGGTGATCCTTCCGCCTCAGCCTTCCAAGTAGCTGGAACTACAGGCACGCACTACCACACCCGGCTAATTTTTGACTTATTGTAGAGATGAGGTCTCGCCAAGTTGCCCAGGTGGGTCTCGAACCCACGGGCTCAGGCAATCCACTCACCTCAGCCTCTCAAGGCGTAGGATTACAGGCTGAGCCACTGAGCCCGGCTCGCATTTTTAAATATTATACTTTTTACCATTCCCATAGTTTTCTCAGTGTGACTAAATAGCATCATGACTCTGGGACATTTGCCTGTCTCTAAAACTTGGTGAAACTGTGTATTTAATCCATATCTCCCAAGTATGTTTAATCGGCTTACATCATAGGAGAGAAGGAAGGACCTGATAATTGTGCATTGTATCAGAGTATCTCCTCATCCAACAGATGGCTTCCGTGTACTCTGTCCCAGCCTCTCGGTCTTTGGCATAAAGTTGTTTCACCTCATGAAGGACAAATTATTTATTCTCAGTAAGGGCAATTGTCCAGAGTGATAAAAGGTTTCATGGTAAAAATGGCAGCAGAATGCTTGACAAATACTGTTACCAATCATTTAACCCAAGAAGATTTATGGTAGGTTTAGCCAAGGTCCTCAAGTCTCATCTAGGCTTCCCGAGCAAAAATTGGTGGCCAATAGCCTTGGGAGAACATGGTGAGTGGGTGAATACTTCATCAGTCTTTATTTATATTCTAAGAAACTGAGCATCATACTTCCTCAAAGAAGTCAGAAATTTCCTGGCTAACTAATTCTGAAAATGAGAGTCAACTCAGACAGGGGAATAATGAACTTTTTTAATTGCATTCAAATAATTTTCACCAACCTTAAAACCTCTCATCAACACAAGATTCTGGTTTCTGGCTAGAAAGCATAGCCAATTAAAGTAACCGTGTCATCCACACTCATGTATAAATTAGGGAGGATTAACCTCCCAAAGGAGATGGAATGTGATAGATAGAAAGGAGCTTTTTGCACAGAGGACACTATTGTTTCCCTTGCCACATAATAGAGGTCAGCCACTTTAGACCTCATTTCTTAGGCTACCATTTCTCCATAATATCACCTACCCATATTGATACTCATTTTAGTTGTTTTTTTATGTAAGAGATAAGAATAGTTCTCTTATTTTAGACAAGACCTTTAAGGCATATATATTATAACTTATCTCTGACCTTGTGGCCTTGACCCTAAAGGATTCAAGCCAGTTTGTGGTAGTGTGTTCTTATTACAAGATAGTCTTTTGAGAGGATGATTATACATGCTGGAGACTGACATGTGCTCACCAGAAAGTGTTGACAAATGCCAAAGGAAGAAACTTAAACCACATTTTAAAAAAATCCATCCTAGTGGAAAGACAAAGTTAAAGAATTAACCAAAAAGATAAAAATATAAGAAGGTTTTAAAAAAACACTAGAAAAAACACAATTGATTCTACACATGAAAAACTTAGATCTTTATTGGTTTAACCTTACCCTTCCAAGATTCACCTTAGTAATTATAACAAGGTTATTGAACTCATGTCTTTAAATTTTTACACATTATTCTCATGCTACTAAATTCTGATCAAGGGTTTTTGGAAACTCCAAGAAAATAGGACCAAAGTAGAGGCAAGCCAAAACAGTCATCTCCAGTTCGTTAGTCATCTTCATCACTGTTATCTTAAAGCATCTGCCAGTCTTAAACAAAGAAAAGTATATATAGCCACAGCCCCTGTTAATTACTGAGGTTGCTTTGATATGGATAAATAGCATTTGACATAACATACTAAATTAAATAAGTTATTGATTTCAGAATAAGTCAAAAGTTCCATATCAGCATCCCATATACATAGAGCTAGCCTACTACTCAACTCTTTTTCCATCCTTGTGCCAAATGATGTAATATCCCATTGAATGGGTCTTTAAATTTTTAGAGCACTGGTACTTTTGTTAAAGAGTAATGGGTTAACTAATTCACTCTAAGATGGCACTGTAATTGTGGCACAAGCATAGTAAAAGAAGAGGCATTAAAAGGGAATATTTGATACCATGGAATCTTTTCCAACTTTACAATATGTTTGGGCCACCCTGGACAGGGATCCCCACTTTTGTTCAGCCAGTGTTAAATATTTTTTTTTCCTCAGCCCACTGTTTTCATGATGCTTTAGTTTTCTCTGCTTCTTTTTTTTTTTTTTTTTTAATGCAAGATCTAGGTCTAAAAAGTCATGAATATTTCAAAACATTTGGTTAGAAATCCCTATCTCAGATTTTGTGGGTTTTCTGACTTTTCTTAGCCCTTTCATTCAAAAAGAAGTATCCCTCTTGATGGTGGGGGATCAGTGAGGATGTGCTACTAAAGAGAAATGGCATGTGTGGCCTCATTATTTCTCTAAGTGCCCTTTTGTCACAGAAGACCATTAATATCTGTGACCTAGGCCTCTATTTCTTTAACCATTTTTTATACAAGCTTTTCTTCCATCTGTTCTTTCTAAGAATGGAGCAAGAATAGGAGATGTTTAATAGGCACTTGTTTTTTATTTTGTTGGCAGTGTTATGGACAGTCCTAGCAGACTCGATGAGGAACATCGACTTATAGCTCGCTATGCTGCCCGGCTGGCTGCAGAAGCAGGAAACATGGTAAGTAAATAGAGGATACCAGTGGAGTACCAGAAATTAGTATTACTTTGATATACAAATAGTAGGTGAATAGTAAATATGAAATTCAGGAGAGTGAGTCCCTTAGGGACAGAAGAAGGCGGGGAGTATGTTTAGGCAGGAGATTAAAGAGACCTTTATCTATAATGTTCTCTTTATTTAAAAAAAAAGAATCAAGAAGAGAAAATTATAGAGCCAGAATTTAGTTTTTAAAAACAATTAATAAAATTTATAAACCTCTACTAATACTGATCAAGTAAAAAGGAGAACACATAAATTACCAATATCAGGAATGAAAGAAAGGACATTAATACAGATCCTGCAGATATTAGAAGGATGAAAAGGTAGTATTATGAACAACTTTTGCCAATAAATTTGCCAATAAATTTCCTAGATGAAATGGACAAATTCCTTGGAAGACACAAATTAATAAAAATAACAAAAGAATAAATAGAAAATCAAATAGTTCTGTGTCTGTTAATAAAATTGGACTCATAATTAACTTTTCACAAGGAAAACTGCAAACCCAGATGATTTAACTGTTGAATACTGCCATATACTTAAGAAAAAAATAGTATCGATTGTATGCAAACTGAGAAAATAGAGGAAGAACGAACACTTTCTGTCATTTATCAGGCCACTGTGACTAATACCAAGAGCACTGCAAGCGACAAAAATTTCTGGCTACATTCTGTCATGAACATGGGTGCAAAAATCCTTAACAAAATATTAGCAAATTGAACCCAGAAATACGTAAAAAGGATAATATTTCATAATCAATATTTCATAATAATGTAAATGTATTTAATATGTAAAAATCAACTCACATAACTCACCATATTAACAGTTTAAAGCAGAAAATTATAAGATAATTTCAACAGATGAGGAACAGCATTTGACAGAATATAGTACTCATTTATGATAAAACTCCACACACTACAAGTAGAAGGAAACTTCCTCACTGTAATAAAGAATACTTACAAAAATCTACAGCCAAGATCACACTTAAAGGTTAAATTTTGGAACATTTTCCCCCTATTATTGGGAACAAGACAAAGAAATCCACTTTTACTACCTCTATTCAGAATTATACTGGAGGACCTAGTTAATGCAACATGACAAGAAGAAAAGAAAAGGGCGTAGATATTGGAAAGGAAGAAGAAAAGCAGTTTTTATTTGAAGATGACATGATTGAGTATAGGAAGTCTACAAAAATACTACTACTAGAACAGGTAAGTAAACTTATAGCAGTGTTAAAAGATATGAAATACATAAATGTACAAGAAGCAATTGTATTTTTGTCTACTGGCAATGAACAATTAGACAATGAAATTTTAAGGAAAGTACTATTTACCATTGCATTAAAACTATCAAATATTTATGGATAAATTTAATGAAAGATATTGCAGGCTGAAAACTATATTAACAATGTTAGGAGCAATTAAAATCTAAATGAATGGAGAGATATGACATACTTATGGATTGAAAGATTCAATATTTTAAGATGGTGGATTTCCCCAAATTGATCTATAGATTTAATACCAATCTAAATCCCAACAGGCTTTTTTGTAGAAATTGGCAACTAATTTTAAAATGTATTTGGAAAACCAAAGGACCTAAAATAACCATAATGGTCTTGAAAAAGAAGAACAAAGTTGGCAGACTTAACCCTACCTGACGTCAAGACATACTATAAGCTATAGTAATCAAGAAAGTGAGGTTGGCAAAAGGATGGGCAAATAAATCAAGGGAACAGAATGGAACATCTATAAAATAGACTCACCTGTGTAAGGTCAAACAACTTTCAATAAGGATACAAAAGCGATTCAGACAGGAAAAGTCTATCTTTTTAACAAATGCTGTTGAAAACTAAATATCTACGTGAGGGAAAAAAGAATCTGAACTGCTTCTTCACACGATACAAATAAGTCCCCTTGAAATGTATGTACATATAAACTTAAACATAAAAACTAAAACTGTAAAGCTACTAAAGCATAGGAGAATCTATTCAGTCTCCTATGAATAAAAATGAAGATGTATTAGCAAATTTACAGGAATCACAAACTATTTTAAAAATTGATAAATTAAATCTTATCAAATATGAATCTTTTGCTCATCAGAAGATACTATTAAGAGATATGCAAACCATAAACTAAAAGAAAATATTGCAAAAAATATCTGACAAAGGACAGAATATATAAAGAAGTCCTGTACCTCAGCAATAAAAAGAAAACCAGCTGAGCACAATGGCTCATGCTTGTAATCCCAGCACTTTAGGAGGCCAAGGTGAGAGGATTGTCGGAGCCCAGAAATTTGAGACCAACCTGGGCAACATGGTGAGACCTCTTCTCTACAATAAGTCAAAAAATTTGCTGGGCATGATGATACATGTCTGTAGTCCCAGCTACGTGGAAGGCTGAGGCGGAGGGGTCGCCTGAGCCCAGCAGGTCAAGGCTGCAGTAGCCATGATTGTGCCACTGCATTCCATCCTGGTGACAGAATAAGTTGACTCTGACTCAATTTTAAAAAGAAAGAAAGAAAAGCCAATTTTTGAAATGGGCAAAAGAACAGATACTCCACAAAAAAAGATATGCAAATGGCCAATAAGCACATGAAAAAGTGATTGATATCATTTATCATCAGGAAAATGCCAATGAAAACCATAATGAGATACCACTACGTACCCACTAGTATGGCTAAAATGAAAAAGATTGACACCACCAAATGTTGGAGAGCATATGGAACAACCAAAGATCTTACACATTGATGATAGTCATGTAAAATTGTACAGCTACTTTGGAGAACTATTGACAGTTTTTTAAAAAAATAAACATTTATCCTATGACCCAGCAGTTCTGTTCCTAGATATTCATTCAAGAGAAATAAATACATATGTCCACAAAAAACTTTGTACAGGAATGGTCATAGCAGTTCTTTTCATAATAGCTAGGATAGCCCACATATTTATAAACAGAAGAATAAACAAACAGAGCCGGGCTCGGTAACTCAGCCTGTAATCCCGCGCTTTGGGAGACTGAGGTGAGTAGATTGCCTGAGCCCGCACGTTCGAGACCCGCCTGGGCAACTTGGCAAGACCTCATCTCTACAATAAATTAAAAAATTAGCCGGGTGTGGTAGTGTGTGCCTATAGTTCCAGCTACTTGGAAGGCTGAGGCGGAAGGATCAGAGCCCAGCAGGTTGAGGCTGCGGTGACTGGGAGTGGCCACTGCACTCCAGTCTGGGCGACAGTGAGACTCCAACTCGGAAAAATAGATAAATAAATAAATACAAAGTGAATAAATAAATAAATAATCTCACTACTAAACAAATTATTGTAGGCAAGAAAAATACAGGAGCTATGAAAGGGTACAGCAGGTACCTGATCTATTCTGGAGAGAAAGGGATAGCTTCTGTTAAAAAGTATTACTTGAGTTGGGACCTGAAAATAGAAGAGAATTCAGTTTCCTGGAAATGAAAAGTAACTGAAAACCAAAGTAGCCCAAGTGCTACTGTTGCTGCCACTACTACTGCTGCTCCTGCCCTGTGCTTGGATTTTTATTGTCGTGAGGTTCTATGGACAAAACCTTGGTTATATGCAAAGTGGAGGGTTAGAAATGAGGCTCTCACGTGAAGGTAGACCCCTTGAAGCATTACATTCTTGATAAATATGTTTGGCATAGAAGACAACCAGCTGTCAGGACAGAGATAAGAGAGCATATAGATCTCTTTTTATTGAAGTGGAAGAAATCATCTCCTCTGGAAATTCAAAGCCTTAGGGCCTGTTTATACTTGTATTGGCTACATTTACAGTACTTCATAGTTAGAGAAACACAAAGGTGAAATTTAAACATTAAAATTAACCTCAAGGCATCTAGCAGAAGCAAAGTACAAATTTTGGCTTACAATCTCAATTGAGACCTAACAATATTCCCACCAAAAGAGTCCAACTCAATGATTTTAGATGTTAGAGTTATTGGCTATAAAATAGCTTTTTAAAAAATTTCTAAAGACCTAAAAGAAGGAACTAAAAATCATGATAAAATATTATCTGAAAAGATCAGAGTTTAAAACACACCAAATAGAACTTGAGGTTTAAAAAACAAAAGTTACTGGAATTTAAAACTCAGTGGAGGGGTTAAATGTCAGATTCAACACAGCTGAATAGAGAATTAGTGAACTGAAAATATAAGAAAATTTCCCAAAACAACACAGGAAGGGGAAAATCTGAAACACGGTGTTCAGACATGGAAGACAAAGAACCAGCGGTCATCTAATTGGAATTCCAAAACGGAAAATAGAATTAGGATGAGGAATTATTTGAAGAATTAATGACTAAGCTTCTAAAATTTATTCAAGACACGAATCCTCAGATTAAAACATCACAATGAGTCTCAAAATGGATAAATAAAAATAATTCTACAACTAGACATATCATGAAACTGCAGAATACAAAGACAAGATTCTCAAAAAGCAACCAGAGAAGAGTCAGTATATTACCTGCAAAGGACTGAGTATTAGATTTCTCCACAGCAACAATAGAACAATTTCTTCATAAAAGAAAAAAAAAACAACCTTATATTTCAAAATAAAACCTCTCCAGCCTAGGCAATATAACAAGACCTTGTCTCTACAAAAAAAAAAAAAAAAAAATTAGCTGGGCATGATGGTGTGCACCTGTAGTCACAGCTAATCAGGAGGCTGAGGCTGAAGGATCACCTCAGCCCAGGAGTTTGAGGCTGCGATGAACCATGATCATGCCACTGCACTGCAGCCTGGACAACAGAGTGAGACCCTGACTCAAAATTTAAAAATAAATAAATAAATAAAACATCTGATTACATCCATGTTGCCAATGTTTGTGATAAAACTTTAAGAATTTTCCTTATGAAAAAGGACAATTCCTTAATATACTGAAAGGAACTAGCTAAACTGTTAAAAGTAAAAGAAGAAATAAAGACCCTTCCTGGCAAGGACTGAGAAAG